GGATATCTAAATAGTGGATGTACACGTAAGTTAACGGATATCTAAATAGTGGGTGTACACGTAAGTTAACGGATATCCAAGTAGTGGATGTACACGTAAGTTAATGGATATCTAAATAGTGGATGTACACGTAAGTTAATATATATATCTAAATAGTGGCTGTACACGTAAGTTAATGGATATCTATATAGTGGATGTACACGTAAGTTAACGGATATCTAAATAGTGGGTGTACACGTAAGTTAACGGATATCCAAGTAGTGGATGTACACGTAAGTTAATGGATATCTAAATAGTGGATGTACACGTAAGTTAATGGTTATCTAAATAGTGGATGTACACGTAAGTTAATGGATATCTAAATAGTGGGTGTACACGTAAGTTAATGGATATCTAAATAGTGGATGTACACGTAAGTTAATGGATATCTAAATAGTGGGTGTACACGTAAGTTAATGGATATCTAAATAGTGGGTGTACACGTAAGTTAATGGATATCTAAATAGTAGGTGTACACGTAACTTAATGGATATCTAAATAGTGGGTGTACACGTAAGTTAATAGATATTTAAATAGTGGGTGTACACATAAGTTAATGGATATGTATAATGTTTTAGGCATAGGAACAATTAAGTTATAATCATTGACTGTCTTAACGAAACATTAATCGAACCATAGCTGTTTAGAAATGGTATTTTAAGAAAGTTGTTTCCGGTTAAGTTATTAGCGTTAATGTCTGCATAGAAACTTAGTTGACATTTTTAAACTAAATTTAATGTTGATTCGTCGAAATCTTTAGAAGAAAAACACAATTTATTTCAATGTTCTTTTTCTTTACTCTATAGTTAACTATGTCGTAGATTTACTGGTGCAGATATTTGTAGATATTTAGCCCATGATATAAAAAGACACAACGGTGTAATAATGTTTGACAGCCTTCCTTATTAAGAAGGGTAAAACTTGTTTATACTGAAAATGTTGACTTATTTGAAGTTCGGTGTTTTAAGGAACGTCGTATTTATTGCAGATGGGTGATAAGAATATTTTCTGCCTCAGAGTTTTTACGTCCTGTTGTTTATCACTTGTTTATTCAAAATGGCTGACACATAAAGTTGAAACACCAATCATTTACAGTCGAGATAAAAACTAGCTGCTCACTGCTTTACAATATTTAACTACTTGTTGTATAAATTATAATTTCAACACGATAACTGTAAAGCAGTTTATCAATCCATTAACAATATTATATACACCTGGAAAAAAGTTAAGCACCCCC